AAAAATAGAATGTACAAAAAAAAAGATTTTTTATTTTTTTTTCGGAATTAAAATTTAATATTCAGTCCAATGAATATTAAAATACTTAAAAAAATTTTAATCTTATAAACTTGGTGCTAATCATAATTTTTCTTTTTTTAGTTAATAATTTTTTTTTATTACTATGAATTATGAACAATTACTTAAGATATTTTTTCTAAGTCAAAATAGACAAGCGAATTTTTCTTACTTTTCAATAATATTAGTTGCATTATTTACCGCGCTCAAACAATTTTATAAACGGATTGAAAACAAGATTTTATAACAAGCCAAATTCAAATTAATTTACTTTAGTGAGTTTAAAATAGAGCAGTGATTAACAGAAACAATTATTTTCTGCAAAAATAGTGGAGGTGCTTAATGAAATTGTTGTACTTTTTTTTTATAGATATTTATAATTTTTAATTTTAAGTGTAGTTTGTTATTAAATCTTGTTTTTTATTTCTTTAAACCAATTTATTTCATTTTATTTATTAAAATTAGTCATTTTCTATCTCAAAATAATTAAATAAAGTCATTTACATTTCATTTAAATCCAAATATTTTGACTATACATTTTATAAAATTAAAAAATCTAAGTTCAGTCTAACGAAAAAATACTTGGACTGAAGATAAATTTAATTATTTAAAACTTACTTAAGGCTAAATTAAATTAGAAAAATTTGTTCGGACCGGCAATAATTACACTGCTACAAAAAAATATGAATTTTCAAAGTCTTATGATTCTGTGAGCTATAAAATAACCTGAGCTGTAAAATATTGATTCTTCTCGTTAAGTATCTTGTTACAGCTACCGTAGAAATGTGAGAAAAAATTACCATGAAATTTGATGAGCCGAAAAGAACATTTTTCTCTTTTTAACGTCTGCGAAAAAACGACCAAGAATCTTCTCTACTTCCTACAGCCTCTAGATACAGTAGAGCTTAGACTACATAAAAATTTCTATAGCAATACATTTTTGTATTCCCTTCCTTTTAGAACCTAACACTTACCTATCAATCAAAGCAAAAAACCTCTTTAATTTAAATGGATAATTTGAGCTTTATTGGCCTTCTATAAAAAGCAAAAATATTTTTGAATCAAATGCAATTAATTTGAACAATAAAATATTTTATTTTACAAATTTTTGTAAGAATTTTATGCTGATAGTGCAGTGATTCCTTGTCGAATGATAAAATTCTGATGTTAAAAAATTACTTATTAGTAACATTCTCGAATAAAATGTGTCTTGTCCGGGTAAAATTTTTAAATAATTGAGTTTTTTTTACCAAAATTCGAACCTTCGATCTTTTCTAACTTCAACCCTCTTTTCTTTTCAACCCTCCGTAAGTGAAAAAATCTTACGATAAGAAATTTATGATAATAATTAGGTATCATCAAATTATGGTGGAATTCAGAATACTGTCATGATGATAATATTAATATTATCATCATTTTAATACTTACAATATTAGATATTTATCTTCGTATTACAAAATGATAATAGTTAGCATCGCGGATTGAAAATGATGCTAGTGATTATTACTATAAATAAATGACAGTCATTATCGGCTCATATTGGAAATATTCTCTTTAAAATTTGAAACTTTTTCTAATACTGACAGAAAAATATTTTGAAAAATTTATATATTCCATGTCTTTTAACTAATACTAGAATTTAATTTGCGCGCGCCTGAATATAGAGTTTGCATAAATTTTCATGCTTATGATATATTCGACCAATCACGTTACTAATAGTTTGCAACACATCTTTTTCATCTTAATTTTATTACAGGATAAACAGTAATAATTAAAACCCTATACTTCCCACCAATTATCAAAATTTTCAAATTTTTTATAAATTTTCGCCGAAAACGCATATAAGAAATTTTTTATATATTTGCTTATATGTTAACCTATATATTTTTATGTGTTTTCATATATCCGTTCATATATGAAACAAATATAAATTATTGCTATTGAAAACAGACTAAAATTGACAAGTTAACGGCTTAAATAACCCAATTACCTCTTACCGATTTTCGGAAAATTTCAGTTTTTTTTATATTCATATATTTATATTTTTTGTATTAGGCGAAAATTCATATAAATAAGATATACATGGGACATAAATTTTTTATATATTTGCTTATATGTTTTCATATACATTTTTTCCGTAGAGGTGGATAATAAGCTTGATTTAAAAATTTTGAAGACATGGAAAATAAAGATTCGTAAAAAAAGAAAAAACTAATTAGTAACTATAGTGGTATTTTTAAATACTATTGTATTTAGATCTTAAGATGAAAACCATTAGAAGCTCGGGATGGTAAAAATAGTCTTTGGTAATCATAACAGTTGTTATTTTTATGTAAGTGGTTGACATACTAGATAATAGTGAATACATACGCAGGCAGAAAAAAACTATATGACGTATATGTAGCGTTTTTTATTCTTGCTCGCGGATATATTTTTTTGTTATACTCGCTCCAAAAGTTCAACTTTTAAGCGCTGGGTGGCGTCCGAAAAGATACTCATTTTTGGAGACTCTACCATACCGCCTTTTTTCCGCGGCCTAGGCCGCAAAGTTTACTTTCCCCTTCTTTTCCGTACTGTCCTTGTGCAATCGGATGAAATTTAGAACAAAATAAATCAAATTCTAGTGTACCGACCGATGGATTTTGAGTAAATTTTAAACTTAGTTACTATTGAGTGGCGCTAATTCTTTCTCTGCTGACAGTTTATTACGAAGCGGACCTAATGTTAATAAAATAACAAGCGCGTTATAAATAAATATTAATAAAAAGATAATAATATAAAATTAAGTTTTTTTGCTCTTGTGAAACTTCATAAAATTTGAATGTCATTATTTGCCTCCTATCCCTCAAAAGTTAAACTTATGGAGCGATAATAACAAAAAATATTGTATGTTATTTGGCCACTAAGTGGTGATTTTGACAACGATGATTTTACGATATTCGCTTTAAAGTTTGTGACGCGAATTTACGAAAACGAGCGTAAATTTCCGTCCTCGGCTTCGCCTCGGACGTTAAAATTGCGCCCGTTTTCGTACATTCCCGCCACGAACCTTAAGCTCATATCGCAACATCGTCGTTGTCAGAAAATCGCCACTTTCCGGTCATATGACATAAATTACTATTTCAGTATGGGATAACATTGATGTAAAGAATTATTTAATTTTTATCCAAGATGGTAATCATTGATGATGAACAATAGTAACTATTATCATAAATTTCTGAGCATGTATAACATATTTTGTACTTTAAAAAAAAATCAGCTGTGCAATAAAAATGCAGACAAAAATTAGCAAAAGTTCGCACTTAAATATTATGTAAAATTTGTATTAAAATCAATAAATTAATGCCAACGATACTTGCACTAACTAAAAAATTTCTGGACAATATCACAAAAAAATGAGTGAAAATAAAAAAAAAATAATAATTTACACCAATTACACTTTTCACACGTTTCTAATGCACGTAATAAATTAAACCAACCTTCCGAAGCATCGGTAGTGAATTGCCTCAATTCAATGTCAATACTTTTTTTTCCCAATGCCCTGCCAAATAAATCTGCCGCGGAACCATCACTAGGCAACGCAATTTTAATCTTCCTAGTGTTGAAAAACTCGTCAACCCTCGCGATCAAAGGATCGTCGATCCTCTTCGATCGTTCATGAACACCTTCACTTTCTTGGTCATCCAGCTTATCCAGCGTCACAATGTCCCCGAACAACTTAATACTGTGTAACTTTTTGAGTTCGTCCATCTTGTGGACCATCTGGATCTCCAAGGTTCCTACGTCATCGGGGCGAGTTTCACTCCTCGCGATCGCGACCACGCAGAACAAAACTAACAATTTTTTTCTCATTTTCAGTAGTAGGATCAAGCTCGACTATTTAGAGCTGAAGTACTTTTTCGACTGTTTTAGCCCAGAGACATTTTTTCTTTTATATTAGGTTGACGTCAGATGGTGGGGGTGGACCATTTGGCAAAGAAAACGCAATGTTCTTGTCAAGAATTTAAATTTTATTCTTTATATATTTCATTTCATACGGACTATGTCTACATACACCTCTATGAGCCATGTGTGATGCATTACAATGCACGAAGCAAATTTAAAACGTGATAGGTCTCTTTGTTGCTGACCGACAAAATTTTTTCATTTTGTCACACACGCTTTCAATCTATTTTTAATTGTCTGCTGGCCAAATCGATTGTTATTATTACTATTATTATGGCTAATTTTTTAAAAATTTTTCCATACAAATGTACTGTAATTTTATAATGAAAAGAAACAAGTATACAATGAATGAAGGAATGTTTTGTGTTTGATGTCAAAGATGAAAATTATTATTTTTAAATGAGCTAATTTTGTTACATTAAAATAATTATTTTGTATATGTATGCGCGTGTGTGTATAAATATAAGGAGGTAACTTTCAGGAACGGATTAGTTTTCCATGTCTGTCGTGACACAGTATACTATGCAAAACGATGTCCTAAATCTTTAGGCTTCAATAAATGGACAATATATGGGCGAGTTTCGAGAATGTATATTTGGAACAAGTGATATGGTAAATTGAGTGATTATGTTAAAGAGAAGGAGAGTCAATTTATGTAAACGAGAATTTAGTTTATTTCATTGACGATTTTCGAATACAATTTTATTTTTTTATTTTGATCGTGATTGAATGATTTTTATTATAGAATGCCGATATATTTTTATAAAACACTTGAAATTTTTATTCACAAATTCAGATTTTGGGTTGAAACTTTCAGCTGTATTAAATCCATAAATTATGATAAAATTTCATTGTTTTCAAATAAAACACCCACATATTTATAAGGCATTTAAATATTAACAATAAGAAAAAAAAATTGAGCAAATCTAACTTTTCATATTTGCATTATTAGAATCGATCTTTGGAAAAATATAATTTGAGTAAGGAAATTTAATTCATTTTCTCGACTCAAGAATCACTTTGAAACCTTCAGTTCTCTTGAGAAGAATATCACCTTGGAGCTTAAAGTCACATTCTTTAATATTCGATTTTACACGAAAGTTTCTCATTACCGTTCACAAAAGAATTTTTAGCTTCAACATTGCATACTTCCGACCAACACACGATCGCGGTCCGGCTGAAAATGGTATAAAAGCATAATAATGACGATCTCTTGTCTTTTCCGGCAAGAAATTGTCTGGGTCGAACATATTTGGATTCGGGTAAAATTTAGGCGATCGGTGAATCCTAAATGTGCCCACAATAATTAAACTACCACGAGGGATAGTATAGTCTCCAGATGTTAATTTCAAGTCAGTGTTGATTCGACGCCCCATAATTGATACGGGTGGGTATAGACGCAACGTCTCCATCAAGCATCGCTCGAGATATTTCATCTCCAAAGTATCTTGGAAGGAACAAGGTCTATCACTATCACCAAAGATTTCGTCCAATTCTCGAATGACATTTTCTTGAACGTCTGGATGGCAGCCCATTATCGACAAGAAGAAACTAGATGCAGTAGCAATTAAATCGAATCCCTAGAAAATAAGTGTCATGACTTTGAAATCATTGATACAAAATGTGAATCTATTTTTAACACACCTCAAACATGATAGTATTGACTTGATCGCTGACTTCTTGTTCAGTAAGAAGATTTTCATTTTGACTTGCTTCCATCAGCAAATCTAGAAGCGGTAATCTCTTTTTTTCAGCAACATCATTATCATCGACATCCGGATCATCTTTCAATCCATCAGATTGTCCGAATGACAAGCCATCTACACTGGTCACCTGTAAATAGTTCATGCTATTAATGTAAACAACGGTAACTTAGTGAAATGATCAAGCATTTAAAATCAAGCATTTAAGAAAAATACTATTTCGTCATTGTGTAGAGTGTTAAAATTTGTGTGTTGAATATTACACTCTAGTGTGTAGAATTTAACATTCTAGTGTGTTAAATCATGAAATCAACACATGAGAGTGTTAAATCCTACACACTAGAGTGTAATATTCAACACACAAATTTTAACACTTTACACAATGACGAAAATTTTTTTACTGTGTAATAATAATTTCATGAACTAAAATATTTGAACTAAAATATAAATATTGTAGTACCTACCCGTGTAAAAAAAAAAGTTCCGGAAACATTCCTTAGAAAAGTTCCGATTATGAGACGATCCGGAACTTTTGCGGAACTTCTCCGGAACTCTTTAGAAACAGTATTAAAAAAAATTTCACTTATAAACTTTTGAGTAACTAAAAATTTGAAATTCTTAAAATTTTTGAGGATTTTTTGCGGAACTTTTGCGGAACTTTTCCGAAACTTTTTCGGAACTCTTTGGAAACAACATTTAAAAAGTTTACTTACAAATTTTTGAGTAACAGAAAATTCAAAATTCTTAAAATTTTTAAGGAACTTTTCCGGAACTTTTTCAGAACTCTTTAGAAACAACATTTAAAAAGTTTACTGACAAATTTTTGAGTAACCAAAAATTTTAAATTCTTAAAATTTTTGAGGAACTTCTCTGGAACTGTAGCGGAACTTTTGCGGAGCTTTTACGGAACTTTTTCGGAACTCTATAGAAACAACAATAAAAAAGTTTACTTACAAATTTTTAAGTAACCAAAAATTTAAAATTCTTAAAATTTCTTAGGAACTTATCTGGAACTTTTCAGGAATCTTTCCGGAACTTTTTTTAAATGTTTTTTGGAACTTGTTTAATACCCTTTCTACAGAGTTCTGGAAACGTTCCGCAAAAGTTTCGGAAAAAATCCTCAAAAATTTTAAGAATTTCAAATTTTTTGTTACTCAAAAATTTGTAAGTAAACTTTTTTAATGTTGTTTCCAAAGAATTCCGAAAAAGTTCCGCAAAAGTTCCGCTACAGTTCCGGAGAAGTTCCTTAAAAATTTCAAGAATTTAAAATTTTTGATTATTCAAAAGTTTGTAAGTAAACTTTTTAAATATTGTTTCTAAAGAGTTCCAAAAAAGTTCCGCAAAAGTTCCGGAAAAGTTCCTAATAAATTTATGCGAGGCAACGGAGCTCTTTGGGGTGGAGAAATCTATCACCGGATGGGCTCATTTTATGCTTCGGACTAGAATAGTGACTACCGGACTTAGTGACACTAAGGTCCGGGCCCGAGTGAAGAGGGGTTGCCCACAAGGGGGGGGTAACATCTCCTCTCATGTGGATCCTGGTCATTGACGAGCTCCTAGTGGCGCTGAAAAACCTAGGAGTGTACACTGTGGGCTACGCTGATGACGTCGTACTGATGGTCAGAGGCACAAGCCCAGCAGAGATGAGATGGAGAACGCAACGTGCTCTAGATCTCATACAAAAATGGTGCACCGGGAAATCTCTAAGGGTCAATCCCACTAAAACAGAGATGGTGCTCTTTACTAAAAGGAGGAAACTGAAAATCACAGCTCCCTCAATCTTTGGCACGGAGCTTAAATTCTCAAAGGAGGTACGCTACCTAGGCGTAACTCTGGACAGTAAGCTCACGTGGAGAAGCCACATAGAAAAGCAGACCAAGAAAGCAACTGCCACTTTCTGGGCATGCAGAAGAATATTTGGCATAACATGGGGTCTGAGACCGAAATTGATCAAGTGGATATACGCTGCAATTTTGGTACCACAGCTCACCTTTGCCTCTGTGGTGTGGTGGCCTTCCCTTAAGAAGAACATCAACATCAAGACACTATTTAAGGTCTATAGACTTTCTTTGCTAGGGATAACTGGGGCTCTAAGAACCACAGCTACCCTGGCAATGGGGGCACTCCTGAACCTGGAGCTCCCACACATCACAGCAGAAGCTCTTGCTATGAAAACAGCAATGAGACTGCATTTTAACGGATACTGGACAAGGACTAAGACGGGACATGCATCCATCCTAAGGGATAGGGGACTCGATGGGTTCCTAGCCCAGGGAGGAGACATAAGCCCTCGTAGTTACCACTTCAGTCATCACTACAGAGTCTTCATCCCAAGCAGGCAGGAATGGGAAGAAGAAAGCAAGAGCATCCTGTCCCCAGCGGGGCTAGTCTGGTATACGGACGGCTCCAAAATGGAAAGAGGGGCAGGGGCTGGTATCTGCAGTAGTGGACCAAAAACAGAAATTTCTCTGCAATTAGGGGACACTGCATCGATTTTTCAGACAAAGGTATATGCGATTTGGGCCTGTGTAGAGCACATCAAAAAGCTCAATCACAGGAACAAGCACATCTACATCTGTAGCGATAGTTGCGCTGCGCTCAGAGCACTAGAATAAATAGAAGTGTCCTCGAGGCTGGTGCATAGCTGCATGAAGTCGCTGGACGAACTGGCGATATATAACAGAGTCAAACTCCTATGGATACCGGGTCATAGCGGGAATGCAGGAAACGACAGAGCAAATGAACTGGCGAAGGCAGGAGCCCGCAAGAGGGATTCTGAGTCAGTGGTCAACATAGCAGCGCCTTTCAGCCTCATTAAGCAACACACTTCTCAATGGGCTGATAATAAGTTCCAAGAAGTGTGAGCTGAAGCAAAAGGCATGCTGCATACGAGGGCACTAATAAAAGGACCCTCTAGGACACTAGGCCTGTCTTTGATAGGGCTCGACAAGAAAACGCTAAGGCTAACTGTCGGGTTCATCACAGGACATTGGACAACTGGCAGACATCTAAAGCATATGGGCATCTCAGAGAGTTCTGTATGCCCCAGATGTCGATTAGAGGAGGAAACTCCTCGACACCTAATCCTCCATTGCGAGGAACTAGAAACAGTTCGAGAGAACATACTAGGAGTCCGCAATGGAGAGTCGATCGATGTGCTGGAGATTGGCGTGGGACGGCTGCTCCACTTTCTGAAGCAGACAGGCCTGGCCAATTTCTCGGCGACATAAAGTAATTGACCTAGGAGGGCTGAGTACAATGGTCCAACAGGACTGAATGCTTAGCCCAATGTCAGTTACAATATCCCTACCCCTCCCCCCCCCCCCCAATTCAATTCAATTTCAAATTTCCTAATAAATTTTAAGAATTTCAAATTTTTCGTTACTCAAAAATTTGAAAGTAAAGTTTTTTAATGTTATTTCCAAAGAGTTTCGAAAAAGTTCCGGAAAAGTTCCGCAAAAGTTCCGGATCATCTCATAATCGGAACTTTTCTAAGGAATGTTTCCGGAACTTTTTTTTTTACACGGGTATTATGTTTAGGTATCTTCTTATTGAGTTTATAATTTTTTAATACAGGCTTTATCATTTTATTTATCGAATCTAGTAATTCTATATTTTTCGGAATTTTAGTAGAAACAAAATCTAGTTTTGTACTACAATATTTTTAAGTATTTTAATTCATGTAATTAATGTTATTTTTGAAAAAATATTAATGAAAAAGATATTACTAAAAGGTTAAATAATAAATAATGAACTATTTTATAAGAAACATATATTTTAAATAAATAATTATCAATTTTAAACTATTGATACTTTGCAACTCCAAAATAAATTGATTCAGAAAAATCTTAAATAATATATTGAATTAAATTCATATGATAATTAATGATTTTATATTTATACGGTATAGCTAAATTTTTACTATAATAAAACCTTTTTGATTGTTTTTAACATTTTTCTTCGATCATTTTTGCATTTTTTTTTTCTTTAAAATTTTTTTTCTTTTGCCAAAGAAGTATATCTTCTGACGCGTGTACATAAGTACACATACCATTTTTTTTTATAACCAAGAAACTGGTGGAGAACTGCAGAGAGCGTATGTAATCAATGTTAAATATCCAATTTTTAATTGAATTCATCTTGGGTTATAGGTGGTGAATCCCTACAATAAAAATACATGACAGTTTGAAGTTAGTCAATAGTCGAAAAAATGGGACCTGATTCCTTATTGGTAGAATATAAACCCTCCTCAGTTACTATTGGTCAATCTCCTGGTATGTGAACATATCAATATATCAATATAAATCGAACAGGATAAATTCATTCGAGAATTTCGATAGGGGGCGCGCAAATGCGCGCCGTTAAAAATTCTAGTCGACTTAAAATTTTAAGGGTAATTGCATCATCATGTCCTTAATAAGTATACAAAAATTTTAAATTTTCTGACGGTATACCTTAACTACGACAACTACCTTAATGAAATGAATCTTATCTTTTTATAAAAAGCGAATGATATTGAAATGACTCTTATTATGAACGTGGACTTGACGCAGTTTTTTTACAGTGAAACTGTTTTTGTTGGGATTTATAATATTGCAACATATCTTTGTTTGCTTTTCGGATTGATCTTTTCCCACCAGTTCTTATTTGATCTGAAAATGAATTTTTAAATCAATAGATATAAAAAGTTATCTTTGATGAAAATCACTCGTGTTGCATGATTTTTTTTCTTATTAACTGTGAATATCATTTTATATCAAAAATCGACAGTTGTTCAAACAAAAGATATAATCTAATTAATCAATGATTGATTAAAAGTTTTTTTATTGCTGTCTGTGTGGTTTTTCGAAATTAATATTATTATTATTATTATTACTTTTAAGGAAAAAAAATAATTTAAATTAATTAACTTTATTCAAATAATAAATTACATAAAAAAATTCAAATTACAAAAAATTCATTGAAATAAATAAATAATTGAGATCTAGCAGTCGTAAATAAATAAAAAATTAAATACTTATTAATAACTATCAAACAAATAAAAAATTTGATAATTAAAATAAATATTACAGTTAACTATGAAATTAATTTAAGTATGAGAATGTTTAGATATAAATATATGACACT